CATCAGTCAAGCCTCTGCTCCATTGTCGCCTTCTCAGGAAAAGCTCCTTAGCTCCCCCTAATTAAAATATTCTTCCCCCACAGAAACCCTCTCTGCCATGGGTCCACTTCATTTTCTGCACAGCATTTGGAACTATCTGAAACGCTCACGTGCTTATCAGTTTGTTGTCCGCCTCCCCCGGCAGAAGGGCACAAAAGCCTTTCCGTGTCCCCCATTTCTTGATTACAGGAAATAGGCTTCATTCAGCCTCCATGACTTCCCTGAGTTCCAACCAGCAGCTTCAAAGAGTTGCTAATCAGGGAAGGGAGGGGATTCGGAAAAGGGAGGCCAGTCAAGAAACAATAGCGTCGCCTTGGGGCAGGGTCCTGGTTCCCCCTCAAGGGATACACATAATGATATCTTTGAGCTCTTTACAGATACTGAAGCCCTCACCAGGTGGGAGCAGTTAACGGTCTGCTGCCCACAAGCACATAGACCCCAGACTGGTTGAAACCAGAAGTTTGATGATGCTGACTCCCAATTACCTCACCACCAACCAATGAGAAGAACGTCCACAAGCTGATCACGCCCTCCTCTGTGAACCGTTACTATAAAACTCCTCACTAGCCCCTCCGGGTCAGGACACACAATTTTGAGGGCATTAGCCTCCTGTGGCCCCCTTGGCCTGGCAAAGCAATAAAGCTATTCTTTTTACTTCACCCAGAACTCTGCCTCTGAAAATTAATTCTGTGTCGGGGTACAGAGGCCGGATTTGGCTTCACGGACAGGGACCGAAATATTTCCCTGTGCCTACAAAGCTAGCAGATAGGCAGTGAGCGCTTGATAAAGATTTATTGAGTAAATGATCTCCACGGGATAAGTCATAATCAACTTTGTAAACAACATCTGAAAGGTCAGCCTCTGTACCTGCCACACCTCAGACAGGAGTCCAGGGACACTGACCCTTCAGAGAACAGTCTGTAGCCACCTCCAGGCTGAACGGGCAAAGGGCTGAGACTGAAAACCCAGTTGGCCACCAAGGACTTCCTGTGCTCCTTCACTAATCTTCCCTCACCGTGGTCCCAGGTCAGGTGGCGGAGCAGCTCTGGGGCCTTTCCTGTTGGTTTATAAATAAGTCTAGGCTCATTGCTGATCCCAGAGTGGCCTACGTGGCAACTTGCCTTCAGCTTGCTCAGTAGGACCGCTTGCAGGAAGGGCAGCAAACAATAGCCACGCAGAAGCAGCGCAGAACAGCAGTCTGCATCTGTGTGGCCACGTGCACACCACGCGCTTCAGATCTTCTCTCAAAGGACCTACTGTAGAGCACAGGGAACTATATTCTGCAATAACCTACATGGGAAAAGAATCTGAAAAAGAATAGACACATGTATATGTATAACTGAATCCCTTTGCTGTACACCTGAAACTAACACAACATTGTTAATCAACTCTACTCCAATATAAAATAAAAATTTTTTTAAAAATCCCCAAAAACCTTGACCCTGGTTTCTACAGAAGCAGTTTGTCCCAATCACGCCCCAAAGATAGGAACTGTCCATTCCAACTCAGAATGGCTATCTGGCTTAGTTTTCTTGTAAGTTATTTCATTCGAGTGAACACTTAAAGAATCACTAATGCTTCATCAACTGTAGAGTACTTGTCACTCAATTCCAGAAAACTCGTGTTTACCTAACCCAGGCTGCATACATACGTATACGCCGTGGACATTGTTGCCATTTAGGAAAACAATCCTTTTCCAATCCTGCGGAAGGTAGTCACAGGTCCCTTACTTCCCAGAGCTACTCCTGTCTTCTTGATGTTTATAACAACGTCTTAGAGTTCCAGGACTCCTTTCTGTTATCTATCTCCCTGTAAGTATCAGTCCAGTTCATTTAAGAGTCACAGTGTTTCTATGTGATACATGAAGCTGATGGTCTTAATGCCACTTCTGTTTTTTTCTTGGTTCTGTTTTGTTTTAACAGGAGGAGTAGCAGACCCAGAGAGATTAAGCAACTTGCCCCGAGGTCACATACCTGTTCAGTGCCAAACAGTAGGAACACTGAGTCCGTGAGCTTCCCTCCACATCAGCACTTCTCAATGCATCTGAACCACTGGGGAATCTGGTTACAGTGCAGATTCTGAATTCAGCAGCTCTGGGGGGTTGCGGGGGGCGGGGACCAGGATTCTGCATGTTTCCCAAGCTCCCAGGAGTTGCTGCTCGTGGTGGCCCTCAGAACACCTTTCATCACACCCTTCATAACACCCCAGGCATGTCCATCCTAATACTTCCCCCAGTGGCTGTTGCACTATTTGGGTATTCATTCATTTCTCCCACTAACCTATGAGCTCCAGGAGAGCATGAACTATGTTGTATTCACTGTTTTGACCTGGGCGCCCAGCACCACACGTGCCAAAAAGGAACTGAACAAATATTTTTGAAGAGTGGAGGAAAAGTGACCTATTTCCAATGACAAAGCCACGTCGACTGCACATTAAGACTCTGATTTCTTATACAAAACAGAAACAGACTTAGAAAACAAACTTATGGTTACCAAAGGGGAAAGGTGGGAAGGGAGAGATCAATTGGGAGTTTGGGATTGCCATATACACACCACTATATTTAAAATAGATAACCAACAAGGACCTACTGTAGAGCACAGGGAACTCTGCTCAGTACTCTGTAATAACCTAAATGGGAAAATAATTTGAAAAAGAATAGATATGTGTATAACTGAATCACTTTGCTGTACACCTGAAACACAACATTGTAAAGCAACTATAGCCCCATTTGAAAGAAAAATTTTAAAAAAAAGAATCAATCAATCAATGAACATTTTTTAAATAGGCTATTCATCAAGTATCCTCTGCTGTCTGGAGTCACATTATGACATCCAGTTGTCATCGCCGGGTCCCCAAATAACATAACCAAATAAAAGCCCCGTAGTTTCCACCAGTTTATACCTACACTTGCCGCAGAACTCTGCCAGGGGTCAGGGGGACAGAATCACATCCTTGGGCCAACGGGATGGGATAACATGAGGTCATTCTAAGGGCGAGGGGGAGGTATAGAACAGGCAGGGCGATGGAGGCTCGCTAACGCTCAGCATCACCTGAGGATGCTGACGACAGCAGTCCTCCACGGATTGTGCGTTTTCCATATGCCAAGCACTCGGCTGCGCACGTTGCACCCGTCATCTCATGTCATCTTCTCGACAAACCTATGACACAGGCACTTATTTTATATGTAAGGAAGCAGAGACGTAAGGTTATTAAACCATAAGCGGTGAAGCCAAGATCTGGACCCAGGCAGCCTGGCTTCAGCATCCGTGCTTCTAACCACATTGTTGACTGCCTGGAAGCACACAGAAAAGAAGCAATTGCTTGAGCCTGGGAGTGACTTGACTTCCCTGTCAACAGCCTGATTAATAGGCTCCAAGAAATCCCACAGAGAGGGGCTTGGGGAGAAACACATCACACCCACATTATATCCAAAAGGAAGTGTTCAACAATATTATGTAGGGAAAGAAGAGATTCTGTTACAGCAAATGCTCACATAGTTTTGACTCTGTTTGGCTTATGGTTAAATATACAACACCGCTGAAAGGTTAAGTAAGAGTCACTGAAGTAATAAGTCTCAAAGGTCCCAGATTCCTTTCACACTTCATTAGGTCTCTTATGAAACCTTGCATTAACGTCTGGGCCAAATCTGAGAAGATGGTCATCACATGGACGAGTTCAGGATTTTATGAAACATGTGTGTCCAATGTAAAAAGTCAAACAGTCTAAAGGACAAAGAGAACTTTGCTTTTCAAAGGCTTAAAGAGCAGAAGTTCAACAGTTATACTTTAGCACTGTCAGAAAATGAGGGAGTCAAGAGAGCTGTGGAAGAGAATGCATTGTCCATGTGGATATGAGAAAAGGGTAAACTTGATCTCTCTTTTCGATAGAAGATTTTTAAATGTGGAATAAGAAAATAAATCAGGGCAATACTAAAGTATAGCCATAGGGTCTTGAATAAAACATTACTGTGAAAAAACGTTGAGCTCTACAGATTGCTTTTTAACCACACTTGTTTAATTATTATTTACCTTTGGAGGCAATATGATATGATGGATTGTGAAGGCCCAAGATCTGGTTCTGCCACTTCCTAGGTATGGTCTCCAGCTAGCATAATTCTTCCAGGATTCAGTGTGTTCATCTGTGAAATGGGACAACTCACTCCTGCCTCCTAGGATTACTGGGAGCCTTACATTAAATGACATACTGTGAGCATTTAGTCCCAAACAGAAAATCAACACAGGTTGCACCTTGGTTTTCTCTCCTTTCTTACAAGTTCTATTTTCCTAAAAGAACGTTGTTTAAGCATTTCTATTCCTAACTTTAAGTTTTTGTTAGTAGAAACATAAAATTGTGGAGGGTTAAGAAAAACAATCTACCTACACACAGATGAAATGTGTATGTAAGAAAATGAGAATAAACTATTAGCATACAGTATGGAAAGATCATCTTATATTAAGCTTGATGTGTTAAAAATAGAACCATATAATAAACAACAAGGTCCTACTGTACAGCACAGGGAACTATATTCAATATCCTGTGATAACCCATAATAGAAATGAATATGAAAAAGAATGTATATATGTATAAATGAATCACTTTGCTGTATAGCAGAAATCAACATAACATTGTAAATCAACTATAGTTCAATAAAATAAATTTTAAAAATAAATTTAAAAAAATAGAACCATATAAAATTTCACATAGGTACGCATCCTTAAGAAACAACTTCACTCATAATTACACCTACAAATTTTAGTCAATCTATCAACTAATGATCATGTTAAAAATCAAGAAGTTTTATGAGAGTAGTGTAGATTTTTGGAAAAAATTCCATTTCAATTTATGTGAATGTTTTATAAACCAGAAAGTACTAAATAATATACAACGTTGTTTTTATTGCAATGTCCTTTTGGCCTCTAGAATAATTGGAGATGTCATCATATTAAAATCACTCAACATACTAAATTACAAAATTTTATTCACTGTAATTCAATATGAAATTCACATGTAAAGTAAGGGAAGTCAACTTTCTAAGAAGTTATAACAACATATATAATAGACAGGAAGTCAACAAAGATAAAAAACAGAATTTTTAGAAGTCTTCCCACAATTTCATCTTCCAGACTTGTGGGGTTAGTAGTAGAAATTAACATCCAGTGTTTACAGGTCATATCCAAGAGCTCCTGCTCCCTAGGGGGAAAAGAAAGAGAAAATGTCCTTAAATGAACACATTTATAACCCTGATTCTTTAAAATCAATCTCATATTTGCACTGGAAAGAAACAGTGATCAAGAAATGTCTTTCAAGGCTTCCCTAGTGGCGCAATGGTTGAGAATCCGCCTGCCAATGCAGGGGACAGGGGTTCGAGCCCTGGTCCGGGAAGATCCCACATGCCATGGAGCAACTACGCCCGAGCGCCACAACTACTGAGCCTGTGCTCTAGACCCCGCGAGCCACAACAACTGAGCCCGCGCGCCTAGAGCCCGTGCTCCACAACACGAGAAGCCACCGCAATGAGAAGCTCGTGCACCACAATGAAGAGTAACCCCCGCTCTCCACAACTAGAGAAAGCCCACGTGCAGCGACGAAGACACAATGCAGCCAAAAATAAATAAATAAATTTGTAAAACAAACAAACAAAAAAAAACAGCTCAAGGAACTACCAGAATTACCCCTCTCTTTTCAATGTTATCCATAATTAGTTTATTTTTGAAGTCTTATCTGCAAAGTCATTTACAATCATTCTTATGGCATCAGTGAAATTGCCATTCTTCTAACCTGTACAGTGGGTATTACCAGGAAATAAGAATTTGAAGACATGGAAAGAGGCATGTGATAAAATTCTTAAACATTAAACAACAAAAGGTTTTTTTCATTTCCCTGATCTTTCCTCAAAATCTTCTCATATTTTGGTCACTTAACCAGACATTAAATATTTTAATTTCTTCCACACGTCTGTGTTAATCAGTTTTTTTAATATCTTAATTTTTTTAAGTATTACGGAATTTTCAAAGATATTAATTTGTGGTCTGTTTAGCGCACTGTCGGAATATTTCACATGCCTGTCAGGTAGGGAGTTTAGAACCATTCTTAACTTCTTTTTCCAGGAATGTGAACTTGGCCTTACATCCAAGTCCCTTATACACACTCAACTTAAAATCAGCATCAAGGGCTTCTCTGGTGGCACAGTGGTTAAGAATCCGCCTGCCAATGCAGGGGACACGGGTTCGAGCCCTGGTCTGGGAAAATCCCCCATGCTACAGACCAACTAAACCCGTGCACCACAACTACTGAGCCTGCACTCTAGAGCCCGACAGCCACAACTACTGAGCCCACGCACCACAACTACTGAAGCCTGCATGCAACAAGAGAAGCCACCGCAATGAGAAGCCCGCGCACCGCAACGAAGAGTAACCCCTGCTCTCCACAACTAGAGAAAGCGCGCGCACAGCAAACAAAGACCCAATGCAGCCAAAAATAAATAAACTTTAAAAAATTTATTTAAAAAAATGAGCATCAATATTTTTAGAAAGTGGCAAGATCGGGGTGGGAAAATATTTTCTGCTATTTTTCACTCAAACCCAAAAAGGCAGGTTGAGTTTTAAGAGAGAAGGTGAAAGAGAGAGGGGGAGAGAGATGAGATTTATACAAGTATCTTCTTCCACTTTTAACAATCTTGATTAATTTCTATAATAACTAACCCCCTTCCTAAAGGAGGGAATGACTTGCCCCAAATTACACAGCAATCACTGGCAAAGTAAACGCCTAGAATTTCCCTTAAGTTCAACAATTCCTTGTGCCTATGTTTGGGAAAGAAGGGGTAAGAATAACACATGAGTTCGCAAAGCGATTTTCCTTTCCTCCTATGGCCTCCACCTCCATCTTGTGTTTCTTCAGTCTGTGCTCTGAGGGGTACCTTCAATTTTCTCCAGCAGCGGTAAAGAGAGAGACTGAATAGGAAGTGAGGGAAAGACCAGACAACTGGTGGGGGTCGAAGAGTGCGCAGAAACCCATTTCTCACCTGACTTAATCCCGGGTAGTGGTTGGTAATGCTGCTCCTGGGTTTTCTCTCCAGCTGCTCTTGCTAGAACAAAGTGCATTCAGCACAGGTGGTCTCTTAGCAACCTTGGTTCCTGTGTCAAAGCACAGCGAAAGCTTTTATTGGATGCTGAGGAGGTCTGTGAAGTGGCCGGGCAGGGAGCCTGCCTGGAGAGACTCTAAAATGACTCTCAAAGAAGTCAGGAAGGAGATGTCGAAGAGTGGAGTTCGGCAAACGTGACACGTTGATTTCAACATATCACAGAATTGTAGAGCTGAAAACTAAACGTTTCACAAAAAGTTTAAACTGAACTCTATACTTTTCCTGGCGGGCCAAACACTTACCACGCTTTTATTATTTTATTTTATTTTTTGGCGTGCCATGGGGAATATGGGATCTTAGTTCCCCCACCAGGGATTGAATCCACACCCCTTGCAGTGGAAGCAGGAAGTCTAAACCACGCTTTTAAAACAATAGGTCTCAGGGGGTGAGGGAATGGAAGAGATGTGTAAGGGTTACACATGTGCAACGAGTAGATAAATAAGTCCCGGAGAACACTGTAATACACAGTACAGTGAGCATAGACATAAAAGTGTGTTATAAACATTAAACTTGCTAAGAGACTAGATTTTAATTGTTTCCAGCACTAGAAGCATTAGAAAGTGGAGTGAATTTATTACAAAAGACCAGGCTGTAACATTCAGCCATAAATGGAAAATTATCCAACACAATGATGGTTATTACAACTATGAAATAATAGAAAATACTACTTAGAAAATTATGTTAAAATATTTAATTATGATTAAAAGCCATACCTTATGAACACCTATTATACTCCTGGACAAGCATGGATAATCACACCAGGATACATATCCAAATATTATTTGTAATATCCTCAACTTAAAAACAAACCAAATGCCCATTAGTAGATAGATAAATGCATATAATGGAATATTATACAATCATGAAAATTAAGCTCCAGCTACATACAAAAACAGCGGTGAATTTCACAAACACAATATTGAATTTTTACAATCATGAAAATTAAGCTCCAGCTACATACAAAAACAGTGGTGAATTTTATAAACATAATATTGAATTTTTTAAAAGCAAGGCACAAAAGAAAATGCACAGTGTAAATATATTTATGTAAAGTAGGAAAACAGAGTTAAAGGTGTATGGTTTAGGGGTGTATATGTGGGTGCAATGGTGTAGGTGGTGAATTGATCAAGAAAAGCAGAGGATTGGCTACCATAAAATCAGGGTAGTGGTGGTGTTAGTGAGGGGAAGGGAAGGGCTGCACGGGTGTGGGGAGCCTCCAGCAGTATTTCATTTCTTGTCCTGGTTGGTGGTTACGCTGGCAATCATTTTTTAACTACTTGCTAAACCGCACATAGAAATTTTATAGGCTTTTCTGTAGGTATGTTAGACTTCACAATCGAAATGTTAAAAAAAAGGAAACAGGACTATCTACAAATGTCAACAATGGTCATAGTGGTCGAGTTTGGGTGAAGGGCTATATGTGATTTTTTTTCCTTGCTTTTTCCACTTCTCACATTTTCATTTAAAAGGATGTTGCTTATATAACTTCAGAAAATGAAAGAAAGTAGTCCCATAACGGCTAGTCCTCTTTCTTTCCCATATACTTAAAAGTAATGTATACTGATTTTATTTTTGTCAAACCAAACATTTTAACAAATATGAATTCGGGAAGATTAAATGTCAGTCAAAGATTTTAATGAAAATATTTAACTTACACTTTATCCAATAAATTACATATTTTCATTAAAATGTTTCACTGAGACATTTCATTTTCCTTGAGTTTACACTGTCTCTTTGGCTAAAGAACATGTTCTAGTCTCATTCAAAATGTTCAGGAGAAAGAGGAATGTTGGTGGTTTCTGTTTGGTTCTTCTCAGTGTTAGATCTGTTTCTAGATTTAAATCATTGGAAGGACACAAATCTGTACCATCGTAAGTTTACTAGCACACTGAGATTTTACTGTGGATTAAAATTATGATTGTCGCAGTGTTTGATTTACATTTTGCCTAATTAGTTCTTACTTACTTTTCTAGAAGCTTGGTAATCACATGTTTTTTCTTTGCAGGGACATTCTTTTAGAGGAAAGGCTAGTTAACAGCAGCATTTTCAGGAAAAAAAATGATTTGTAGTGTTTTTTTAATCGGATAAAACATGCACTAAATAAATGTAAAAAATAAATAAATTTGAAACAAGCTAGGACACTTCTAAAAGTATGCTAGAATGTATTGAGTGTGACTATCTCAAGACCGTGGTCTTATCTTGAATGCAGTATTTAAAAGTCGTAGTTAAAATAACATCACCTCCAATTTCTGATATAAGACAGCCTAGGTTATAGAAAAATGGTACAGATGAACCGGTTGCAGGGCAGAAATTGAGACACAGATGTAGAGAACAAACGTATGGACACCAAGGGGGAAAAGTGGCAGGGGTGGTGGTGGTGGGATGAATTGGGAGATTGGGATTGACATATATACACTAATATGTATAAAATAGATAACTAATAAGAACCTGCTGTATAAAAAATAAATAAAATAAAATTTAAGACATCCTAGGTTATTTGGGGCCTAATATATTTCATGTTGAAATTTCACATGACCGCAAATAATCTTCCCTCCCATTTAAATGCCTCTACGTTCCTTTCTTTTCCCTATTTCCAAAAGGCACTGAGAATCAATTTATTTTGTAGAAATTAATTTATAGAATGTTATACTTAAAATAGAATGAATACTCTCTTATCTAGTTTTAAAAACTTGTCTTTATTATATTTTCTTTTGATTCCATCAACAGTCCAAATAATCTAAATCCAAACTGACCTGTTCATTGAATGGCTGAATAGTGGAATCCTACAAGGTAAGTTAGACTAATGGCGAGTAGCAGTAACTTTTGGTCTCTGGGGGTTGAACTTCACTGCATTCTCTGTTCTTCACCCTGCCATCAGTTTGTAGCCTCTGGCCTTTCAAACCTTTATAATCTTGATTTTATATAAAACAAAGTTTCTCAAGTCAACTCTGACTCCTGGGACCATAGTGCATTCGCTAAACGGCTTGGTCCCCTGGCAAAAATAAAACAATACAAAACAAACAAGTAAAACGCCCTCTATTCTATAAAATTATTACTGGTACTAAGACTTCACCTGTTTCTCAATCTCTCTCAGCCTCTACGATTTCCCCTGATTAGGCGTGGATTCCTGGTCAAGATAAAGAACAGAACATACTTTGCAAAGTCTCTTTTTAAATCCAAAGAAAACACTTTTCATTGGATTCAAGATTATAGTCTTAAACATATGAGTCACACTTCAAAAATATTTCCTTTTTTGATAAGAATTTGCTAATTCTACTCCTTGTTTCCATCAATATCTAATGGTCAAGATAATATTGACAGAAGTTCCCTAGAGACAAATGTTGAAACATGAGATACTCTTGCTGAATAGGTCACTTAAGTAAAGTATAATAGTTACCATTCATTAAGGGTCTAGTGTGTGCCAGGCTGTGATTATGCACTACTGGGGCGATGGAGCAACTGCCTTAAGGTTCTATGCTGGAGCCTTGATGCTACTAACCCAGGACTCCCATCCCCAGATGCCACTCTGTTTCAACTACGTGGATTTATTAATGTTTTCAAATGAAAAGGAAATGGACTGGACTGAAATGGAAATATCCACATGTAATTATCGATGGCCACTCTTCTTCCTCAGTCCTGGCTCCCTTCTGTATATGTGAAGTGCTGGCTGAACAATGGGATGGATAGTCTTGCCGTTATCCCTCGGGGCCTGAGAACCCTAAATTTGCCTGAATAGTTTTACAAGAGTCAGTTTTATTCATATCAAAACAACCTGCTCTTTGTAAATGGATCATTCACAGGCCACTACTACGAGCTTACTGTCTAGCAACCCGATTAGGTGAAAGTTCAGTTTTTTAAATCTGTGTTTTATTAGCTTTTACTCTCTGCAATTTTCTTTTCTTTTATTATTAGTTTGTTATCCACCCACTGATCAACTTATGACTGACAGGTTCCTCCCCTTGAACTTTTTTTTTTTTTTGGCTGTGCACGTGGCTTGTGGGATCTTAATTCCCCGACCCCAGCAGCAGAAGTACCGAGTCTTAACCACTAGACCGCCAATGAATTCCTCCCCTTGATCTTATCGACATTAGCTGGACAGAGAAATAACAACAATGTTTCCAGGACTTGGTGGTTGAGAGACGGGTCTGACATAAGACTGATAGGGTTTGACTTGGATCTGCCACTTACCGTGAGACCTTGGACAAGTTACATTAACTCTCTGTGCCTCAGTTAGCACTTCTATACAATGGAGATGATAATAAGAGTAGGGTAGTGTGAGAATAAAATGAGATAATATCAATACTTGTGCCAAGTGAGTGCCTAGTGCCTAGTGAGTGCCTACTAGGCACAAGTCGCTCTTAATAAGCAAGAGTGACTATCGTTGTTAATTATATTCTACCGTATTACCTCCTAGATGGTACCCCTTGAATAAATCAGGCTTCTCAGTTTCTCTTTGGACACCCAAACATGCAAAACTGTCACAGACCTACTCATCCTTTGAAACCCAACGTACCTCCTCTGTGATCTTTCCTGACACCCTCAGGCAGAATCTATCGCCCACTTGCTGTAACATATTGCAACTGACAACCATGTCTTGTGGTTATTTGCATGCCACCCCCCATTGGAAGGGCTGTCTTCCTAGAAAGTGGGGATGGCCTTACCCATCCTGGATCCCACTGCCTCACGGTACTGGATGCTAAGCAGTTTTCAACAAATATTGATTTAATAACTGCACCTCAAGTAGAAGCTTTCTTGGAAGGCCAAAAGTTCATTTTGTTCAAAAGACGATTACGACAAGAAAAACCATATATTAAGTCTACTTTTCCCACAAATTTTTATTCTTCAAAAATAAAATCACAAAGTTGGGTATTTTCAGTATTGTCTCCATATGGAAAACGTCTCTTTCCCATAAAATTTATGTTTAATAAAGTTATCTTTTAGAAACTTGAGAAATCATATGGGAATTATATCTTGTTGATGTTTTTGCTTTTGTTTTTATTTGTTTGCTTGTAATTAGGGAAGCTAGTCAAGTTGTTGGAAGGCAACAAGAGTTTGGCACTGGCCTACAGGGTTTTAGGATTCGAAGTGTCCTGCTGGGATGGCTACTGTTTCTCTGGCATAATTGAGATTTGTCCCCTTAAGATTCCAGAAATAGATGATGGTGTGGTAGGACAGGAGACATAAACTGCTCAAATATGAGTCATTCAGAAGTCAACTGAAATTCAGGCATATTCAACAGTAAGTGGGTTTTGTGTGTTCTGTAAGCTTCTAAAATGGAGTTCAAGGTGCATTTTCTGAACTAATTATGTGAGGAATTACATGAGGAAGGGAATTTAACAGACATCTGAGAAATCAGCTCATCAGTGATATGAGCATTGTATGTGAGGAAGCTTGAATGAGAATAATAATAAATGGCATATGGCTTGACACTGAAATGATTACAGGCATGATTGTTATACCTTGTTTCCTGATTAAGACACGATTTCAAGGAGATCTTTCTCTCTCCAGCTAAAAAAAACAACTGTAGTGGAAAATCGGAAATATTACAGAAATGTTGGCACTGGAAAAGAAATCTGAAATTTCTTAAAACTTCTCATTTGACAAACGAGAGAAGGCACCTCGCCTGAGGTCACACAGCTACTTTTCTTCTGAGCTACTTTTCTTCTGAGCTACTATAATAATTGCCTCAGCGACTTTTTGACATGTATGATAAATTGGATTCGGCGTTTCACCAGACTTGGCTATTTGAAGATATTCGATCTTCATCACCTCCCAACTGCTTTGATTCAGGCCAAGGCAAGACCAGGGTGTCCAGAAGAGAATAAGTCACAAGTGAAAACTGGAAAACTTGGCAGGTCAGACTCACAAAACTCGACAAAGTGGACTTCGCCTGGAAACAGAACCACGTGCCTTGTCACAGATGGTGGGTCAGTAAGGTTTGGGAGCCGGATGGAACTAGTTTGCGATCCTGGTTCTGGCTGGTATTAGTGCTGGAGCCGTGGATCGGGCATTTCACCTCACCTGCCACCCCATCTGGTGACAGAGACAATCTGTTTTGCAGGTTTGAAAGGCTTTTATTCGTAACTACAGTTAAGAAGGGCTTATACACACTGTGATTTTAATCTCATAAAGCCTTATGAGGTGAGTTACTAATTCTCCTATTTCCTTAGTTGGAGAGATTGATGACCCGAGACTTGAGTGAGCTATTCACGATCACACGCCGGGGATGACCGGGGATTTGAATGGAAGTGTGTTTGGCTCCAAAGCCTTAGCCACTGCGGCATCTCAGGATTGGTAAAAGAGGTGAGCCTAGAGCCCAGCACGCTGCCGGGCACTTGGTAAAATAATGGTTACGGTATGACAAAGCACTGGAGTCAGAAAGGGGGCCACTTCCTGCAGCCCAACAAGGAGGGAGAGGGGTGAGCATGGACCCAATGGACGAGAGCAAACAAATGGACTTAGGCAATGGGAAGCCCAGGAAGCTGAGGCAGATGCACAGACATGTAGGCCACAGGGCACTGTCTGCCCTGGCAGCACCATGAGGGTCCACCCGATCCCCCAGGGGTACAGGGGGGTCCCTCTACTTTTCTCCTCTTCAACTGTATCTCTCATGCTTTCTCTGCATGTCAATATCTGTCCAGTTTGGGCCTTCTGCCATCTGTGACTGTGCCTCCGGCCCTTAAATGAACTGTTTTTCTACATAGGAACAAGCACCTCCTCTTAATCATCCGCTACCAAGACTCCCAAAGGCTGAGCTTTCCCGCTACCCCATTCCTGCCCCCAAATAGGAGATGGCATTGCCCCTAAGAAGACATAAATTACTCGGTTATAGGTACTTTACATTAAGAAAGATTCTGGAACCAAAATAATCAAAATGTTTTCAACCTTCTCCCTGCCAAGTTCCCCGGCCCTTGCCAAGAACCACAGCTGTAGCGCACTCTTACGAGGCCAGATGAACTGCCCAGAGCTGTGGCCCGGGAACCTCACAGGGCAGTGCCACTCGCCACCAGTTCTCCCACGTTGTGACAAAGCAGGAGTGGGGCTGAGGCCAGGTGCTTATTCGTTGCGTTTGGGGTTTTTATCTGCAGAACTCACATATCCAAACGTGTGTCATTCCAGGTTTGGGGTGGAGGAGAGGTCTCTGGACCTGTTTGACTTTAGTAAAAGCATTTGGCCAAACCTTTTAAACTACCTTCTCAGCCTGCAACATACACTCCTCTGCCTAAATTCACTGGTGAATTATTAAGGTGCAGATTTGATTTCGGAAACCAGCTAAGTGTTATCCGGAGTCAAGTTTAGCTGAGAAGGTAGATGGCCAGGTTGGAGGACAGAATTTCAAGTTCAATGAGAAACTGTGACCTCTTCTAAGACCAAATTATATTTCTTTTTTAAAATTAATTAATAAGTTTGTTTATTTATTTTTGGCTGCGTTGGGTCTTCGTTGCTGTGCGCGGGCTTTCTCTAGTTGCGGCGAGGGGGGCTACTCTTCGTTGCGGTGCGTGGGCTTCTCACTGCAATGGCTTCTCTTGTTGTGGAGCACGGGCTCTAGGCGCGCAGGCTTCAGTAGTTGTGGCACGTGGGCTCCTCAGTTGTGGCTCACAGGCTCTAGAGCGCAGGCTCAGTAGTTGTGGCCCGCGGGCTTAGTTGCTCCACAGCACGTGGGATCCTCCTGGACCAGAGCTCGAACTTGCGCGCATCCCCTGCATTGGCAGGCAGACTCTTAATCAGTGCGCCACCAGGGAAATCCCCAAATTATATTTCTATCATTTAGCACAGGGCTTGGAACAAAACAGGTGCTCAATTAAAAAAAAAAACTGGAGGCGGGGAGGATAAGATGCGACTTTATGGTGCGTTTTTCTGTGCCTCAGAAGCTTGTTACTTAGAAGGTGAACCCAACGAGGAGCCCTGAAAAGCACTGAATCGTTTCTAAGAACGTACAGCTCTCCAAGGGGAAGTCTGACCAATGATGCCCACTTTCGGTGGATAAGTATTGGACGCGATGGCCCTGTGGAATGCCAGCCAGATCCTGTCTGTGCTTGTCATGTACCACAGAACAAGCCCATTCTGACTTGTAACAGAGTTACTCATGAAATGACTTCTTTCTCCTACCATATTTAGAGTTTACTGACCCTTTGCTAATCTAGCACTGTGTGTTCACACAGTGGGAATTAAATAAACATTTGCAGAATGACAGCTTGCGGTGGAAAACAAAAACCTCATCCTGCCTCCTGAGTGTACAAGGAAACACTTCGGGAAGCAGCTATTCTCTGAGACAACCCTCCTTTCTGTCCCGTCCAGACACAGAATCGAAGCTAGCAAGGGGGGAAAGCAGTCCTTTGGAACCACGGAAGCACATAAGCAAAATAAAAAGTTTCTTTTTATTTACTGATTTTGGGCTGCACCTCGCGGCATGCAGGCTCTTAGGACCCCGACCAGGGATCAAACCTGTACCCCCTGCACTGGAAGTGCGGAGTCTTAACCACTGGACCCTCAGGCAAGTCCCAGAAAAATTTTAGAATGCTGATTATAGTAAAGCAGATAAGTTTATTAAAATAATAGTTTATGCTTTGAAATTGTTTTGATGAAGTTCCCCGTCATCATTGATCTTAGCCGTAGCCTCATGTCCTGAGCTAACCATATGCCATCCTCCAATGCCCCCATCCTCAGCATTCCCACTGCTGATACCATCCTAAGGATGAAGGTATTAAAAGCAGTAAAAGCCAATTATCGTCTCTGCAATGTAAAGTTTCCCATCAAAGACCACATTGGAGGCTCCAGGTTAAGAAGATTCAGGAAAAATTCAAATGAGGGATTTCATTAATAATATTACCATACTTGGCCACTTAGATACGTTATGAGTAAAACCCACCACCCTGTCAAACAGGTTATAACTCTCATCTCACAAACAAGGAAACTGAGACTCAAAGAGGTTGAATACTTGCTTAAGTCCCAAAGCTTGTTGAGCCAGGGCTCAATACCAAGCCGGCATCTGCCTCCCTCCACTTCCCTGTGATGCCTCCCTTATTTAGAAGCCTGATGCACATGTTCAGGAGAGTTGAATGTATGTAACCAAAGCAGAAAACTGTCTTAGTCTGTAGTCCTGAGAAGGGACCGGAGTGTCAGCTTTCACCTTTCCTCAGAGGGCCAGGCAGGGCACCAGCTTCAGGGTCCTCCTTTTCCAGACAGAAAACACAGTGACCTACTTCGCAGGACTCTCGAAGCAACCATTATCAAAAAGGCTGCAAAGACAAAGCCTTTGGCTAAAATCTCAGGAAGGCAGTGAACCTGTGGAATGTGACAGGTGCCCTCTCTGAACCAAATCTCAAACATGGAAACCGACAGGGCCCAAGTCTCCCACCCAACATTCCCCTGCAGACACTTTCCATATGTGAAATTTCTCTTTGGAATCACTGAAATCCTCTCTTTAGAGAGGAAACACAGAAAGGCAGAAACATCTAGCATGGCCACAAGGCTGGCTCAAGTCACTGAGATCTTATTAACCCCTTGCTTCTCCTCCTGCCTTTACTGAGCCAGAAAGAAATGGAAGGAATCGAATTCTAATTCTTTGATCAATCTTCTAAGCAGCCTTATAAAAACTGGAAAGACGTTGAAACGCAGGGAGGGGAAACAGGCTTTCGGCGTCTTTGCGCTCACTATATTCCCTCTACCAGAAGGCAGCAAGATTACCGTTAAACTCTCCTCCTCCGTCAACATTTTAAAAGCCACGTTTTTTAAAAAACCAAAACTTACTGTTCAGGGGTTTGATAAGCGAAGTCCAAAGTAAAGGAGATGATCTCTCTCTTTTGTGACAAACACCATCTGCTCCTGGGTGGCTTGCGAGGCTCGCTGGGCTGTTATTAATAACTGGCTTAGCACTTTCCCGAGAAACCTGAGCCAGGCTGTCCCGGGAGGAGAGTGGGGAGGAAGTGACAGACACAGGTGGGATAAATTATGACAAAAATACCCTCAGGCCCACACAGGCGCAAATAACCCATGAGGAGGGGCTGGGCCCCTCCACGATCAACAGACTCTTAAGTCAAAGGCCCTCAGGGTTCAACAATCAACTAACCAAAACCTCTTTACTCTCTTGAAAAACCTCACGACTCCTGTAATGTCATACTTTCCTTTGTTTCGCTGAGTAATTCTTTTCCATGGCTATTTGAATATCTCCTCAAACTATGCATTTTTGCCTTGTTCACTTTGACTTCCTCCGTTTTTCAAATATATAAACAAATGGATTTTCAAATGCACCTGAGCAATTTGTTGAGGCTTGTTTACCTGTGAGCGTGTGTTTACCTCCTTCCCTTAATGATTCCAAAACCGTTCCTGGCAACGTGTACGTATGTGTGTGCTCAGTTGTGAGGAGGCGGAGTGGGTCTTGGGACAGCATCATACATACGAGGGAAACTGTAGAATTTAAGTCCGAAGAGTGGAAGTGCAGCTGTGACCTGGCTACTGATTTACAGTGGGTCTTCCCTTTTGAAAAGCCTTATTTCCAAAAAATTCAAGGCTATGCTTCCCCTCCCCGAAGCACTGACATCATATTGTTCAGACCAGGAACGGCCTGTCTTCAGACGTAAATTATATTAAACACTGACTCTGTGTCTGACTGAAGTGTTAAAAGAAAACCAAGGATCACACAAAAGTTATTGGAATGTAAAAAGATACAAACTTGAAGGGAACAATGCTTGTCGAATTGCCCCATTCTTAAGGATCCAGCTGCCTTTCACCCTGGCTCAGGCCTGGTAACTATTCTTTTTCCAAATTAAACTTTTTTTCAACTAACTGCTGGCGGTAGGGAGGCCAGAACATCTCACTGCAAACCTCGCACAGTGAGTGTTTTTCCGTGGAGGCCATTGTTATAAAGAGAGAGTAATACACCAGCTGAATAGATGGGTGAGAGGCAGTGGAGCAGGTACCGGGCCTTATTTTTTTTATTTTATTATATTTTAAGTATTTTTATTAAAAATATTCACAATTTTAACATTCATTGTCTTTCTAGTTGTCAAAGTTAAGAAATCAGCATCAGGGGCTTCCCTGGTGGCGCAGTGGTTGAGAGTCCGCCCGCCGATGCAGGGGACACAGGTTCGTGTCCCGGTCCGGGAAGATCCCACATGCCGCGGGGCGGCTGGGCCCGTGAGCCATGGCCGCTGAGCCTGCGCGTCCGGAGCCTGTGCTCCGCAGTGGGAGAGGCCACAACAGTGAGAGGCCCGCGTACCGAAAAAAGAAAAAAAAAAAACCAAAAAAACCCTCACAACTCAGAAACTCGCTGGCAGGGTGAGGACTGAGGGAGAGAGGGAGAGCGGCTGCAGGGGGCTGATGATGTTGAACAGCACCTGAGTCCTGTGCTCCTGGAAAGCAGCCCTGCACCAGGCTCCCTGCTCTCCATGTTCCAGGAAAAGCCTCACTGCCGAGAACGACCCTTCCTCAAATGACTTAGACGACAATGGAGGCTCCCTTGTTTACTGAGGACAAGGCCAGACACACACTCTCCAGTTTCCATTCTCTGTGTCATAAACTGAACTGTCTGTCCCCACTGACCCATCTGGACAAGATACCCACTAGTTGTCTTGACCAAACTCAACTTGGGCTTTTCCTCTCCAGACAGGCCCCTGACTTTTGACCCACCTTCAACCTGAGCCAGTATCGGAATTCAGAATAGCACTTCTCCCCCCAAAACAAGCTGACCACGAAGAAAGACCTTCCCTGAGCAGTGGTCCAGCCATCAACCTGTTCACCCCACAGCCAACACCCAGTTCCTTCTGGCCTTGTTTACTCCCCTGTAGAAAAGAAAAGGCCATTTCCCACCTGATCTTTGAGTTGCTTGCAGATCTTGTGGTCAATGTGTTTTATGTTTTACAATAGGCCCCTTGCCCATATTATAAGTCTTTTCTCTCTTTTTGCAATATTCTTTTAAAGTTGTGGGAAAAAGCACCTATCGTAAACGTTAGCACCTTGAGCATTTTTAAGTGTGATGTTCGGTCGTGTTAAGTACACTCACGCTGTTCTGTAACAGATCTCCAGAACCTTTTCATCTCGCAAAACTGAAACTCTCATCCCCATTAGAGAGCCGCTGCCCACTGCCCCTCTTCCCCACAACCTCTGGCAACCACCTACAGTAGTCCTTTCAAAGAGTGCCTCCTTACCTAAATCTGGATTTGTTTCCTTGTACAGTTTTCTGGTGCCGTGTCGCACACGGAGTGCCAGCCATACCTTAGACCATGCCGTGATCACCCAGGTGTTTATGCCAGCTTCTCTGACCCTCTGCGTCCTGGGAATACAGGATCCTCAACCAGGGCTCTGGACATCTGTCTGTCATAATGTGCTGAGTTACAATGATTCTTTCAGCCAAAGTGACTTTCCTCTGCCTCTTCTGTCTCTCCTTTGTTCCTCTAGTGGAGATTTTTTGAGGCAGTTCCCTCAGCTCCTCAACTGAGAATTGAATGAGGGAGGATTCTTTGGACTACGGTTGTGCAAGGAGTATTAGAGCAGTAACACAAGGAGGATGGTCTTTCCCGTCTTCTTTAACGTCTGATGTAATTATCGAACCCCATGGGTTACTACCTGTATTAGTTTCCTAGGGCTGTCATAACAAAATACCATAGACTGGGTGGCTCTAAACAGTAGAAATTTGTTGTCTCAGCATTCTGGAGGCTAGAAGTCTGGAATCGAGGTGTCAGCAGGGCCATCCTCCCTCTGTAGGCTCTAAGGGAAAATCCTTCCTTGCCTGGTCCCGGCGTTTGCCTGCAGTCCTTGGCATGTCCTGGGTTAGAGCACTTTGATCTCTGCCTCTGCCATCATATGCCTGGCTTCTCCCTGTGTGTCTCTATCTTCTCGTCTTATCAGGACACCAGACATATTGGATTAGGGCCCACCTTAATGACCTCATCTTAATTTGATTACATCTGCAAAGACCCCATTTCCAAATAAGGCCACATCCATGGGTACCAGAGTCAGGACATCAACATATCTTTTGCGGGGAACACAATTTGACCCGTAACAGAAATTCCCTATCTGGCACCTGCCCTCCTCTTCTGCCACTCACTAAATGCTTTGCCCTTATGGCATGAATTCAATTCAATACCTTCAGTAATGGCCACATCTTACTCAGGGCCACTGGGAGCTTCAGTGGCCTCTCTGGAAACTAGGAAACTCCCCCATCTGACTCTCGTCTAGAACCCCTCCTTCCCAGTCACTCCCTGCCCTCACTGCTACTTCTTCCTCCTTTTTTTTTTTTTTTTTTTTTTTTGTGGTACGCGGGCCTTTCACTGCTGTGGCCTCTCCCGTTGCAGAGCACAGGCTCCGGACGCGCAGGCTCAGTGGCCATGGCTCATGGGCCCAGCCGCTCCGCGGCATGTGGGATCCTCCCGGACCGGGGCACAAACCCGTGTCCCCTGCATCGCAGGCGGACTCCCAACCACTGCGCCACCAGGGAAGCCCCTTCTTCCTCCTTTTAACTAAATCTGACCATCCCTTAAACTCCCTTGAACTGCTTGAGCTCCTCCCCTTCAAAACCTTTACCTGCTCCGCCCCTCTCTCCCCTCCCTTTCCCACTCTGGCCCCTCAACTCCTTATAGCCAGTAGAGGTCTAGGTGGCCCTCCCCCTGTCAGGGGTTCTGGAGGGGCTCAAGGAGCCCAGGAATAATCATCTGAGGCTGAAAAAACTACCTGGAAGCAGGCTGGGTATTTTATCCACAAGGATGAGCTTTGGAGACACCTGGATAGCCACTTGGTCCTGCTCAGCCCCTTGCCCCAAATTTAGTGCATAATTTAGCTTCCATAAGATCACACATTAAGGCAAAGGAAATCTTAAGGGATCTCCTCCACACTGGCGGACACTTCAGCCCTCATGCTGAGCAGATAACCTCAACTTACCCTATCTGCCAGAAACATAATCCTGGTAAAAATATTACGGTGGGATAAGGACAAGAGCCCACATCTTCATATGAACCAGTGAATTGAAATTTTATAATTGAAGCTATAAGCCCCCATATTTCTATCTGCCTCTCTGTTTACATGTATGTAATGTAGGTATGTTATATATGTGTAAAATTTTCCTACCTTCAGATGACATTACCAAGTTAGATTATAAAAACCTCTAAAGGAGCTTTATTTTGATTGAAGTGAAATAAGCCCTTACATAAATTAAATATCCCTAAAATTTCTAGAAACTAAGAAAATTTAACTTCTAATACTTTAAAAAGTATTCTTATAAAAACTAACCCAAATGCATTAAGAATTCACAAAGTTTACTCTTGCACAAATAAGACTAGTTTAATATTATTGGTTTACTAAAAACAGATGTCTTCTCACTTATCAGAGATAAGTATAATACAAGCATACATTTTTACTCTATTTGGGCACGTTCTTCCTGAACTTACACAGGTGTATTGATTGAATAAATTAGCATTATACCTACCAGGTGTTTGAGATGATGAACTCTGTAAATTTGGGTTTAACCAAATCTATCATTATTCAGACATACTTTTTAACAGTAATTATGTTTTCTAGTGTGTGTCAGCTTGAGGATAGTCTCTAAGGTCTTTTGGTAACTTAAAAACGTCTGCTAGATCATTGACATCATTTCTAATAAGATAAAATACTGAAATATTAACAACTAAGCATAATTTTAGGACTATATATTTTGATCTGTTAATGAATGTGTTCGTTTTTGCCACATTGAGAAGTTGTACTGTAAAGATGTATATGGCTATAAAAAGTTGTGAGTCGTAAGCTCTGCTACAAAACATTGGTGTGTGACACACAGTTCACAACTATCCACCTCAGAGTTATTTCTGTGAAATAAAAGTTACTGTGGTTAAAAGTTATGATCAATATATGTGAATAAGACTCTCTGGGAGAAATAATTGCATAGTAAAATAACTTTGTATGCAAGGTATTCAGGATGTGCTTCTGTTAAGGGAAAGAAGAGTGGCTTTGTCCTAAAGTAAAATGATTGGTTCCTCCAGAACAAGGAATAGGAATGCAGAGGACAAAATCTGAATGGATATAGAAAGTCGTAGAAGGTTTATAGAAAGGGAATGGTATTTGTCATGGTCAATGTTAGCTAAGGTTTGATGGGCTTATTATAAGATTTTCTTTAAAAGATTGTTAGTATCAAATATTATACCGATGCAAAACTGAAATTTTAGTTTCTCTTTGCTAAATGACAAAATTTTCTTGGATTATTGATCTGCCTCTTAAGAGGTTATAAAAGGTTTCTATTTACCTTCTGAGAAATCTGCCTAAAAGGCAAAGATCCTGTTTCTTACCAGAATACTTTTCTGTGCTTTACTTTAACTTTACTTTAACTTTATGTCCTTGATGACTTAAAGGAACAAAGTTTTCTCACTTTTGGAAGAGCTAAGGTTCTTAACAATCATGCCATCTCCTATTTTTAAAAATATTTTTGGTCACTTTGATTTCAGATTGATTTTATTTTGTTTTGCATATGCCCAGAAACAACCAAATTTCCTTGTCAATTGCATTGTTTTTGCAATAAACTCTTTTTTTTTAGTTGAAGTGTAGGTGATTTACAACGTTGTGTTAGTTTCAGATGTACAGCAAAGGCATTACACATACACACACACACACACACACACACACACACTCACATATATATACATATATTAATATATTCTTTTTCAGATTATTTTCCCTTATAGGTTATTACAAAATACTGAATATAGTTTCCTGTGCTATACCATAGGTCCTTGTTGGTTATCTAGTTTATAAATAGTAGAGTCATTTTATATATACTGGTTCATATATGTTAATCCCAAACTTGTAATAAACTTTTTTTTTTTTTTTTTTTTGCGGTTTGCGGGCCTCTCACTGTTGTGGCCCCTCCCGTTGCAGAGCACAGGCTCCGGACGCGCAGGCTCAGCGGCCATGGCTCACGGGCCTAGCTGCTCCGGGGCACGTGGGATCCTCCCGGACTGGGGCACGAACCTGTGTCCCCTGCATCGGCAGGCGGACTCTCAACCATTGCGCCACCAGGGAAGCCCTGTAATAAACTTTTATCAGATCTTTCAGTTTTGAAAATTATCTTTAATAAGCTAACCATGGCCATTTTGTTTTTTACCATCTACAGATAGTTTTTTAATTAACGCTGTTGGTTTCC